CCATCTTATGGAAAAAACTGAACAAACTTTTTGGCCAACCCAATACTCTTCAGCTCCAGAATTTCTCTTTGCTTTTTATAATTTTTCTATCTTTACTTATATTTTCATTTTGCTCACATATTATTTTCCTGATTTCCTTTAGTTTTTAATATATAGTAAACCTTTAACTCACTGGAAATATTTACAACAGTTGATTTCACATACCTGACTAATAATTCCAATGTCTGGGCTTCCTCAGCGATGTCAATTTTTTTTCCTGTGAATGCACCAATTCTTCCCTGTTTCTTTGTATATTTTGTAATTTTTGTTGAAAATTGGACATTTCAGTATTATTTTGGCGTAACTCGGGGAATTTAATTCTTCCATTCCACAGGGGCTGCTGAAGCTTAACTTACTGAGAGCTGGATTCATCCATTTATGAATTTTCCATACTATTTTGTAAGTTGTGTGCTCCTTGTCTTGTGTAGCAAAGTGGTATTTTTGTTTCATTGTCTCTGTCATCAGCTAGACCGGACAAAGATTCACTTAAATGTTTGGTTCCAAACAGCAGGGAGGTAGACATGTACTGTCTCTTCAACTCTCCTGGAAACCACTTCAGCCTGTGAAGGGGCTGGAAAAATGTCCACTAGCCTCTGCGCCAGTGCCTCAGTGATCAAAGCTTCATTCAGCAATCAGTACAAACCCTGATATACTGCCCACCCTGGCTCTAGCATTCTGCACCAGGATTGTGGAGATGGGTGATGTGGGACAGTAGCTGCTACCAGCAGCTGAAATTCCCCATTTTTTTTTAACATCTTTACTGGAGTATAATTGCTTTACAATGGTGTGTTAGTTTCTGCTTTATAACAAAGTGAATCAGCTATATGTACACATATGTCCCCATATCCCCTCCCTCTTGCGTCTCCCTCCCTCCCATCCTCCCTATCCCACCCCTTTAGGTGGTCACAAAGCACCGAGCTGATCTCCCTGTGCTATGCAGCTGCTTCCCACTAGCTATCTATTTTACATTTGGTAGCGTGTATATGTCCATGCCACTCTCTCACTTCGTCCCAGCTTACCCTTCCCCCTCCCTGTATTCTTTACCAAAATCTTCCCTCGACCACAAATGTTCAACTCTATAGAATTCTAAAGTCATACTTCACATGGTTCCTGCCCGTGCAGCAGCTGTTTAGGTGGAGGTGTGGGTTCCTGGAACTCCCTGCTCTATGTTCTGAGACACCACTCTCCTTAGTTGCCCTCCTGATCCACCTTCTTAGACTAGGAAGACAGTGGTCACTTGTTTGTATGCTCCCCTCTTCTGCTTCCCTCTACTGTGAATCATAATGCACATTTTCATATTAGATACTCTGAGCACTCCTATAATACAGTAACTAGTACGCATTTAACCAGCCTTTCCCAAAGTTATTTAAGCACAAGGCCTTCTGGTCATATTCCTATGAAGACCCTATGGAAAAGTGCCCCATGGAGCAAGAGCTGACACCTGCTTCTCCTTCTTTCTCATGTAAGCATGAGTGACAGATTTCCTTCTCTTCCTCCCTCTAGTTTTTCAGATTATCCAGATTACTGTCATGGGGCTCATTTTTTCATTTTTACACTGCAGTAGTTTTCTATTTATTTCTTTTTATTATTTATTTATTTATTTTTTAATTTTTCTTATTTTTTATTTATTTTTATTTATTTTTATTTTATTTATTTTATTTTTATTATTTATTTATTTTTTTTATTTTATTTATTTATTATTATTTATTTATTTATTTTCTATTTATTTCCTCTGAAGACACTCTGTAATTTTGGTGGGAAAAGACTGGCTGTCATAACAGGAAGATAATCTCACCCTATAAACAAACCTTCCACCTTCAGCATTGCTTTACTCCTAGCAATTTCTTCATCTCACAGAATCCCAGGTGGCAAAGATGGAGCAGGAACAAAAGCAGCTGTGAACAAGCCTGAGGGCTGTACCTCGGCAGTTACCACACATGGCTTACACTGAAAACCAGACCAGCTGACAGTTTCTCTTTGGGCACCACAGTCTCTCTTGTGTTTACTCAGGGCTTTAGGTATTGCTGGTGTCAAGAAGGTACTGCTGACTGTGCCATCAAAATCTGCCCCAAGTCTCCCCATTTTACTACATGGTGCCCTAACTCACTTGTTTCCTCAAGCCAGAAACTCAGAGGAATCTTGTTTCTTGTCTCTCCTTCACAAACCACATCAAATCCATCAGCACATCCTGGTGCTGCCAACTCTGAGATACGTACTGAATCTACCGTTTACCATCCTAGTCCAAGTCATCATCTTCCCGCACACTTGAGCTACTCCCAAAGTCTCCTGGATGCCTTTACTCTGGCCTCCTTCTAAGTTATCCTGCACAAATTTCAAACTGTGAGTAAGACCACATCCTTCCTTTCCTAGACAGCAGGAAGGATTTAACACACCAGCTCTTTAACATTGTACACATGTTCTCCATCCTCACTTGCTGCCACTCCTGCTGCAGAATTCCCCTTCATCCATATGAACTATGTATATTCCTGCATACACCATGCCACTCTGGCCTCTTGCTCTTTGCTAATTCAGCCTCCTCTACTGCAAATGCCCTCACAGCCCCTTCTTTGGTTCTTTCCATACACACAAACACACACACACACACATACTCTCTCTCTCTCTCTCTCTCTCTCTCTCTGTCTCTCTCTCTCTCTCTGTCTCTCCCCGCTACCGACCTATCAGTCATGCTTACCTCTTCACCGCTCTCACATCCTTTGTACAGACCTCTATTACTATACTTCCTAGAGTCTTTATCACATGTTTATTTTACCTTTCTCTTCCACCATAAAGTGAGTCCCTTAAGGGCAGAGACGATTTGTCATTCATTTTGAATACTGTTTTACCCATTATTTAGCACAAGACTTATTATACAGTAAGTAAACATCAAAAAATGCTTCTTAGCGAATGTACAAATCAATGAAATACATTGATACACCCTCTCATTCAAACAGGGAACATAACAAGACTGACAACATCTTGATGATTATCTAATACTCAACATTAATCATATAGTTATTGAATGTCTACCATAGGCCAAGCATTATTCTAGTCACTAGGAATACAGTAGTGAAAAAGTTTTGATTTGGAAGTTCTAGCCAATGCAATAAGACATGAAACAGGTAAAGAAGCATAAGTATTAGGAAGGAAAAATCAAAATTGTTATCATAAGTAACATAATTGTATAAATAGAAAAGTTTTACTATACAAAACAGACATATGAATTGATAAGAATATCCCCCGGGCCCCAATGAATATATGAGTAAAAGTTAAGAGAAACAATTTGCAAAAGAGAAGCTGTCAACAGTAAATAAATATAAGAGAAAGTATTCAGTTTGAGTATTCAGCAGCAGGTACTCTACTATGAGGTTTACAGTTTACTTAACTGTCTCAAGAAATCACAGCAGTAACAGCAACAACAAAATGTATACCCTTTTGGGATTGACCCATATACACTACTGATGCTATGTATAAAATAGACAACTAATGAGAATATACTATATAGCACAGGGAACTCTACTTACTGCACTGTGGTGACCTAAATGGGAAGGAAATCCAAAAAAGAGGGGATATATGTATATGTATAGCTGATTCATTTTGCTGTGCAGTAGAAACTAACACAACATTGTAAAGCAACTATACTCCAACAAAAATTAATTAAAAGCAAAAAAAAAAAGGTATATCCTTTAATCCATTAAAACAGTTCCTAAAATCTACTCTGAGAAATAACCCGAAATATGTAAATACATATATATGAATATCTATTAAAGAGTTATTTATGTTAGCAAAAGAATGGATATATACTATATGCTGAGAATATGGAAAGAGTAAAGAAATTATAATGTGCAGTCATGAAAATGTTGACGGTGGTATTGACGTGACTGCTGAGAAACTGTCAGCAGTGGAAACAGCTATAAGCTTTACAAGTTATTATGGTAACAATATATTGAGAAGCACAAAACCCACATTCAAAGGTGTCTACTGCATCAGAAGTCAGGATCATGGTCACCCGGAGCAGGAGGAAGAGGAAGGAAAGGGGAGAGTGTTGCAGTCTCAGGTATGGACTGCATTCTATTTCTTGGACTGGACAGAAATGTATTCACTTTGTGATTACTTGATGAAATGTATACTTATAATCTGTGTACGATTCTATATTGTATATTATATTGTTCAATTTAAAAATGTATTAGAAATTTAAATAAAATAAAGTAATGCAAGGTACCCTCTGATATCCTCAGCCTGTCTGTGGAAGAATTTAATTAGAGACTGATGATCACTCACTATGGACACAATGAAAAGATCCCTCCTCTGGGGAAGAAGTTTAACTTAAAGATCTTTAAGTTGAATTCAAACCTAAGAATTCAACAGATGAATGAAACTTAAAAACCGTCAATAAAATTAACAGCCCTTAAAACAAGTCTGCTCAAACCTTCCCTCTTCTTTTGGTGGTAAAAATTAATACCCTATGCAGAAGAAAACAAACATGGTATCCTCAAAAATAATTTCTGATCCACTAATGACCACTTATGCCCCTGAAGATCAAACCCTATTATGTCTTAATTCGTGATTTTTATCCCCCTAAAGTAATTAGCAAAGAAGTATTAAATTAATGTGTATTATTCTATTGTCACATAATCACTCTTACGAAAATTATATTTCTAAGAAAGATAAAAACAAAAACAGCCAGATTTCATAACAACACACCACTTAAGCAGGAATCTTGATGTGCTTGTTTCTCCCTCACCACCTCACCACCCCCGCCAAATTATCAAAAATTTGCTACCAGAAATACAAATGAGCCATCAGAGACAGTTCAGAGCTTCTGTTACATAAAATCTATGTCGAATCCTGGCTCCATCCCCTGGCATTACTGTATAATAAAGTGACAAAAATGTTCCTGATAAAAAGGTCTTTTGAGACAAACTCACAGTTGAGGACTGTGGGGATCAGTTCTCTGCACTCACCAGGGAGGGTAGATGCGGATGATGTCTTGTGGAAGTCCCCGGAGGCAGCGTGCAGTCTCCTTGGCGAAGAGAACCCTCAGGCCAGTCCCAGGGGCCCCACCCTGAGAAGAGCTGTCAGCCTGCAGCCCCGATAACTGCTCACACATTGCAACTTGGATGGTGCATTCCTCATGAAGCTCTAGAATTTTCACAGTTAATATACCAGATTTTATACCTAGAAGGTGAAGAAAAGAACAAAAGCAAAAATGAAGTCTAAAAGACATATGGTCCAAGTGTGAATAAAATTATCATGAAAAAGAGAATCACTTTCAGATAGCCTTCTTCACCTGGAGAAAATGGTCTATATATTGATACTTTGAAAAGTAAAATACAGACTCTAACATGCTCATGGTAACATCTTTTTTTAAAATCAATATATCCTGCATGTTGCATTTAATATGTACATTTTAAGCAACATAAGAAACAGTTTTCTATCATAAAGAAACAGTCTTGCACATACGGGAAACTCAGATCCATCACTTCACAAAGCATGTTTTCACTCCAAAACTTGAACCCTTTCAAAAATCACAACAAAAGGAGTATGACCGGGTCCTCTCCACCTCATTACCTGCTCTGATTGTCTACTTTGAAATGACACAGTATGACTGGCCGGCTGCAAGTATTCTAACGATCGTGGACGTTCAAAGTTGAGGATTTCTGTGGACTGATGGGAGTTAGGGCTCTAAATTTAAATGGGTGGAATTCGATCTGGATTCAATCACTGGGTCTCTTATTAATTAAGTTGGCCAAGTTACACAGCATTTAAACACCTCATTTTTCTCATGTGTAAACTGGGGATCATGCCACCTGCCTCGATTAACATTTTTAAGAATTAAGTAAGATAGATAAAGTTGACAGTGTGCATAGCCTATAACCTGGAAATCCCAGCGATGTACCCAGGAACTCTGTCACATGCACCAGGAGATCTAGACAAGGCTGCACATCTCAGTGTTGTTTGTAAGAGGAGGAAACCCAGCATCAGTCCATAGCCAATGGGTAAACTGTGGTGGGTTCATGGAAGAGACACTCTACAGAAGCTTATGTGAATGGACCTGATCTGTACATATCAGCTTGGAGAGATCTCAAATACAAGAGGGGTAAACAGATATGTACAGCCTAACACCCATAATGTTATTTTTCTTGAACACAAAGACTAATAAAATATTGTTACAGGTACATATGTCATACAGGTACATAAATATGGACTAGCAGGACACACAGAAAACTCGTTGTAACTGTTGAATCATGCGAGAAAGAGGAGTGTGACTCAGGAAGGGAACCCAGGGGATTTCAAACTTATCTGCCGTATTGTTTGTTATAAAAGATTAATATGTGTTATTAATTCTAGGTAGTAAATACACTTTTTTTTATTACTCTCTGCTTTTTAGTTAAAAAAAAAATGAATTAAATGAGATAAAACCGAAGTGTCCGGTACAGTGCCTTGCTAATAACAGACACCAATATGACTTTCATTACCACTTTAGCTAACTGGTTAACAGTGAGTATAAAAATTAACATTTAAACAGTACCAGCGCCTTAGTTATACAGTTTAATTTCGTTTTCATTTCTTTCTCCCTTTCACTTTTCTCTAGTCATCTTCCCCTGGACCCCAAGTTTTCCACGCCCTGCTCTGTCTGAGTGCCTTCAGCAAGCGTTCATGTATGAAGCAAGGTCATGGCATCTCCCCAGAGCACTATCTGGAACCATGATTTCTAAGTATGTGTCTATCGTGAGACTGTTTCTCAAGGTAAGAAGGAAACAGAAGGGGGAAGGATGTGACCAAGCACATCCTAAGCTGTGCTGGCTCAGCTGGGCTGGTCACTATGGAGAGTAAAACACACTGGAAAGAACGGTGCTGCCTAGGAAGTGAAGACTCAGCCTGCTCTGCCGCGACAGGTGTCTTTTTAATAAAAAGCAGCTCCCTCAGCTGGTGAACAGGAAAAGAAGTCAGGATATGTGGGGGTCACTGCGGTGAGCACACCGTTTTTCCTGGGCAGGGCAGCAATGCAGTGGGTAGAGTTCAGCTCACTGGCAGCAAAGGGAAAAGCCCTAGTGGTAGGGACTGCACTAGCCACAGGCAAATTTCTGGACATACTTTAGGAGTTTTTAAAACTTTTACCTGTGCTCAGGGGTTACCCCCAACACTATCCTCGGCCACCAGCAGCGGCCGCTGTCCAGAGCCCCATGGCCCGTGCTCTCCAGCACCCACTGTCCTGCTGGAGTTCAAGCGGCCAGTGGTGCCCGGGCAGCACCGTTCTCCCTTTGGGTAACCAATCACTGGCATGTGCGGCTGATTAAAAAGCGATATAGGTTTTCAGCGGTCTGCCCCCAACCCTACAGTCCACATAGAGCCTGACAGACTTTACAAAAGGCAAGACACTACAGAAACACATAAATAGTATTACAGCAGAAATACCTATATATTTATGATGAGTCACACTGCTACTGACTGCAGTTTCTTTGAAGATTTTTATGAGAACTCCTGACAATATCTAATAACTATGAACCCTGATTTGACCATCACCGCAGCATGCTTGGGGACTAAACAGGTTTGGGAGTGCCATCTTGGATGCACACAGGGCTGCGAACAGCACTTCTCCACCAAGCACCGTGAAGTCCCTTCCACAGGATGTGCTCCCACACAGGCCTGAGGAGAAGCCAGTGGTCTGCCTTCCCTGCACAAAGTAAGCAGTGTAATGTCCTCTTCCTCTGAGGGAGACAACCCAAGACAAGTTATGCATTTGATGCAAGCTGTCAATCTGAGCACAAGAGATGCTGGTTTTACAAGCGAAGAAGACTGTTCTGCAGTTAGATGGAGGAAACATAAAAGGCCATTCTGGGGCTTCCCTGGTGGCGCAGTGGTTGAGAGTCCGCCTGCCGATGCAGGGGACACGGGTTCGTGCCCCGGTCCGGGAAGATCCCACATGCCGCGGAGCGGCTGGGCCCGTAAGCCATGGCCGCTGAGCCTGCGCGTCCGGAGCCTGTGCTCCGCAACGGGAGAGGCCACAACAGTGAGAGGCCTGGGGGCCAAAAAAAAAAAAAAAAAAAAAAAAAAGCCATTCTGTGACAGTGGGGCAAGTTTTCCATAAATGCTGTGAGACTCAGCCAAAGTTTCATGTTGTCAAGGAAGTGTCTCCCGAATCTCAGCCAGAGGCAACTATTCCTTCCCTCTGAAATCCTCAAATACCTTATCTACACTTACAAGTACCCTCCTTTTTAAATGGAGATAGTATCAGCTATAGTCTAGAACACTGCAAACATTGAGAGAGAGAGAACAGAAAGCCTACAGTGCAGGGCCTGGTCTGTCACCCATACAATAATGGCTGCCACTGTCATCAGTCACTGTCACAATATCAACTTTTCAAGGCATTTTCAAATCTATTATGGTACTTGATCCACAATAACCCTACGCGATAGGTAAGGAAGATATTAATCTCCCTTTTTGACAAATAAAACTGAACAAGTTAGTTGCTCATACGACTTTCTTAAGGTTAGAGAGGATTACTGGCAGATTTTATGCTCAAAACTGAGTATTCTCACAAGTCCTATACTTGAAGTGTCTCAAGGGTAAATGGCAGTTAAAGACAGGAAACTGAGGATGCTTTTTTTCTCTATTTTATTATGCTCAAACGTCGGACTTGTTTAAATGTTTAAAAAACAAGAAAAAGAAAAAGCACACCAGGTTGAGAAATGGACTCAAGTGAGGCTTCTCGCGGGTTGGGCACAGTCAGGATTCCAACACTGAAAAGGAAGAGTATAATTTGACAGAAACCAAGCGCTGAGGAAGAAGTGCCCCGAAGACCAAATGGAAAGCACAGATATCAACACAGCACGAAAGTGGTTAAGACACAGGAACAGACGATTCACAGAGGAAATACACCACAGGATCTAGTAATTTCTATCCATACATATGCCGAGCAGATGAAACACTCTGTAGTTAAAATGGCAAATAGTTAACTTAAAGGCTAACATTTGATGAATGAATGCATGAATGAGTGAGTGATTTATTTTATCAGGAAACTTCTCTAAAAAAAAAGTCTTTGATTTTAAATGAGCAAGAGGCCACAAAAGAATTGAGCAAGTAATATAAGAATAAAATATATTTTTGATTCCTGGCTTAAATGACTTATTTGAAATACACAGGTGGCTAGGGTCCATTTATATGCATGTTAATTCCAATCCTCCTCAGTGGGTTATGCTGATGAATTAATATATATTGTGAGGAAAACATTCATGAATACTTATACAAAAAATACTATACAAGAAATTAACAAAAACTATAAAAGAAAGTACCAGGTGAAGCAAGTTAGTACGGGGGGAGAAATACTGAAATCATCCTCCTATAGAGACAGAAACATCTGTAATTTTTTATCATGAAATACTTTTCATAATATAACTGTTGCACTAACTTTAAGCTGTTCCACTTCATTATCCACACGATGACTGCAGAGTAATTTGGGATCCTCCCTGTATGATTACTCTCTTTATCTTCATAAATATTCTAACAGGCTAATCCATAAAGAGTCGTGATTTAAAATATATGTCCTACTATTCTCTGAAACTGGTACTTTTTCTCTTCTTCAGGCCAAATCATCAACAGGTGCCCACCATTACTTTTTTCCTCAGTCCTCACCCATCATGTACACACACACATACACACACACAGATTGGGGTAGGAGGGCAAGACAGCACAGCAAGGGTCAGGGATGGAGATCAGGGGAGTTTAAAGTACACCTGCTTCCTGTGCAGACAGAGGAGCAGGTTTCTTTCTCTCTCTCTCTCTCTCTCTCTCTCTCTCTCTCTCTCTCTCTCTCTCTGTGTGTGTGTGTGTGTGTGTGTGTGTGTGTGTGTGTGTTAGGGGCAAGGGACAGGGGTAACAGTGGTGTCATGATATCAGTGTTGGATTTATTAAGGCTGAGATACCTCTTAGTTATTACAGCCTGGCCCTAACTGACCTCCGCAGTCTGGTACCTGACTACTCTGCCCTAACACAAGGCCCTCCAGAGTGGCCCTCTGGTACATGTAAATTTAACGACAGCCACCTCTGTTCTTGAATCCTTCAGGCGCCAACCACTGAGTAATCCAGACAACCGTCCACTGTTTAGAGACACCTTTGTTACCAGTTACTTCTCACTGCTCTACCCTCAAATTCCACAACTCTACTCAAGTATCTTT